ACATCCTGGTCACTTTCTGTGGATGAACAGTGTCCAACATAGTGCTTCCTAAAATCTAGCACCTGGAATAGAACACAATATTCAAGATGTGGTCTAACTAGAGCAGAGAATAATGGAAGTCTCACCTCCCTCATCCTTTAACACAACCACATCTACTGAACAGTCAAAAAGAACATTATCATCACCAAAGTCTTATATGATATTGTCAGAGGCAATAACATTAAAGAATATGAATTAACATCTGCTTTACTCCTGCATCATAAAAGCATGGGGATGTTTTCATATGATTTGCAGCTAAATCTTCTACGTATGTTGTTTCATTTATTAGAATGTTAGGTCCTTGAAAGTAGGGACTATCTTACTTTTTTATTGTTGTGCCCAGGGCTAAGCACAATACCTTCCAAATAATGCACGCTAAAAAGTGCATCATTTATTAATCATATCTAACATGATTCTATCTATACCATCAAGAAAATAGCCTAATATGGTAGAGAGCTGTCCTACTTTGGGACTTCCACATTGTTGTTGTTCAGTCATTTCAGGTATGTTCAAATCTTTATAACCCCATTTGGGGTTCTCTTGGCAAAGGGATTAAAGTGGTTTGCCATTTCCTTTTCCAGTCCATTTTACAGATGAGGAACTGAGGCAAACAAGGTTAAGTGATTTGCTCAGAGTAACACAGCTAATAAGTGTTTGAGTCTAGATTTGAACTCAGGCCTTCCTGATTCCAGGTGTGGTCTCCAGGTCTTCCTGACTCCAGGTCTGGCTCCAGTGGCTTTATCCACTACGCTACCTGACTTCTATGACTTCTCCATTATGTCCCAGGAATTTCATCATTGGGATACCTCATTATCCTGTATGATCAAATCAGTTTTGGTACTCATACTTCGTTATTATCATCTCCCCTTCTGCTTGGAAGGTAGAGACAGTAACACCAAAGTCTCAATTTAGGGAGGGGGGTCAGGACAAACATGTAGCTTCCCACTTGGCTGTATTATTTGGGGCTTTCTTTGTCTTCACCATGCTTCCAAATCAGGTACCTCTCCCTGCCTCTCTTCAGCTTCCTTTTCTGTATTTTGTTCCTCCATTAGATTGTAAGCTCCTTAAGGGCATTTTTTTTCAAATTTGTATCATCACTTTTCACAGTACTTAGTGCCTAGTAGGTGCTTAATAAATTTTCAGTGATCATTGACTAATGACAAGGAACTTGCAGACAGTCAATTAAGTTCAAATCCTAGTGCTAACAAGTACTAATTGTATTACTAGCTATTTTCATAAGCAGGAAACAAAAGTTTTCTCACTATCTCACAGGGTTCTTGGGAAAAAAATATGTAAATATTAAAATACTTGTCACTGTATATAATAAATTTGTATGTGGTGTGTATATATTTATTTATACACATAGCATGGTGCTTGTCATATAGTAGGCACTGAATAGATGTTTATTGAATTGGAAATTAGAATTGCAAATAGTACTATAAACACATAATTAGCCATTGTAAGCACTAGGATTTGAATGCTGCTCACCTAGAGTCCAAAATCTCTGCCTCTATCCTCCCAAATGTTCTATTCTCCAGGGTCAACATCTTTTTGGATGAGATTAGAACAAAAGTTGTTAATATGGAATTGAATCCTCAAAGAAGTGAGAAGTTCAGATAACAACTAATTACCTTCAAAGAGTTCAAGTCATTAACCTAAATGAACTACATTTTAGGGTACTACTAATCATGTAGCTATGACTACTTGCCAGTTGTTAAGTGACATCTGAAAAAGCATAGCAACAGAAGAGATGCCAGTCCTTAGAGAAAAAAAAATGTTACATTTTTTTTCTAAAGCATGAATTTGAAAATCATAAAAGGATTGGGAGCCAAAGCTTATATATACATGTGTAACTTTTGGATATCATAATGTATATCTATATGTGCATATATTGATAGCTTATATGTGTGTATACACATATATACATACATAATTATGCCTTATTTGATATTTCTGCTGCCTGTAGCTATAACTAGAAATTCTTGTGTCAAGGCAAATTCAGTAGATCAAGGTAGCATACCAAAGAATAATAGATTTTATTTAAATAAAATTGTGCAAGGATGATGGGATATCTTTTCCTCCAGAGAGATGGGCCTGCATCCCCATGTTATGGCTGGCAACCTATAATTCCCCCTGACTTAGAAAGAAGTGTCAGTTCATAGAAAGATGGCAGGAAGGGGGAAAAATGGGGTAGCATGGTGATGGGACAATGAAAGGAGCAGGAGTGGATTTAGGCACCAAAAGAAGGGTATGAAGACAGGGGATAGAGAGACAGTTATTCTAAGCCTTAGCTAGTGCTAAGATTCTAGAGGATTCTTCCATCATTCCCGACACACTTTTATTTTTTTAATTTTCATTATAAATTATGAAATTTATATTTTATCTCATTAATTGTTATTATCATTCATATTTCATTTTTATCAATATACACAAATTTCAATGTACAAAGAACAAAGAAGACTTTGTGTGAATCCATTATCTTTTTTTAGCATATTGTATATAGTTTTCTCCCTTTCTGAACTATTTTTTATTTCCATTCATTTTAAATGATTTAGCTAAATGATTTCTTTTTTCATCTCTTTTGTTGTTGTTGAGTCATTTCAGTAGTGTCCAACTCTTCGTGACTTCTTTTGGGGTTTTCTTGGCAAAGATGCTGGAGTAGTTTTCCATTTCCTCCTCCAGCTCACTTCATAGATGAGGAACTGTAGCAAAGAAGGTCAAGTGACTTGCCTGAGGTCACAGAGCTAACAAGTGTCAGAGGCCAGATTTGAACTCGGGTCTTTGGCTATCTGCCATATCTCTATTACCTATTCATTAATTTATCCTCCCCTCCCCCATGCCCTCTAGACAAATAAGTAAGTATAGTTCCACCAAACAAATCAACATATTAGTCGCCCTAATCTTTATAGGACCATTCTACTCTTTGATGTTCATTCTCATTGACCTATCCTGCCTTCCAACTTCTGTATTTGTCTTTAAAATCTGAGTTAGTTGATGAGTTTCCAGGCAGAGCATTGACCTCTATAAACAGCTCCCCTCTTTTCTTCTTCATAAAGATTATCCAGGTTTATGTTACCAGAATTTTGCTCTTTAATACACCTCACCATTGTTGTAACTATGCCTCTTACAGAACCTTAGATCACACCTATCCTTTTGCAACTTTTTCAAATTAATTCATACAAATTCTATGTAATAAATCAAATGGCTATGCAGAGATTTTTTTTTCTATTCTGCTTTGATGATACACATTTTCTTATTCATCAGAATAATTCCCTTATCAGTTCCTCCATCTTCTGATGAATGACTAGTTGTGTGACCCTTAGAAGTCATTTTAAGCTCTTTGTGCCTCTGAAACGGTGGAGAGATTTGGACTCAATGACCTTCAATTTCTCTTCCAGCTCTAATTTCTACCATCTCCTTAAATTATCTAGAAGATACTTTTTTTTTTATTCCTTCAGCCTCTTTAGTTCTAGAAGAGAGGCAATTCAAGTACGTCAGGACAGCTAATAATTGCCCCCCTCCCCACGACTGCTAAAATTTTCTTCTTTGCCACTTTTTCAGTCTGTTCCACAATTCACCTATTTAATATACTCCCACTACAATATGCTTTTGGTTTCTCTTTTTTTGGTTCTCAATCAAATGCTACCACCATGATCCCCACACCTGTTATGTAAATTTTCATAAAATAATTTATCTTCTTGATATATAATATTCCTACACAGCCCCCTATTGCCTACTCTGTTCTTTTTGAATCAAATAGATGCTTTCCACTGGTCTATTCTAGGCAAGAGTTGAATCTTACTGAATCGCAGTAACAATTAGAGGGCCAAATTTATTTCCTGACATTAAGATATCTATTTCCCATACTCTGAACATTATTGTATGTATTAGTATAGAATATAATCATGTGGAGAGTAAGGAGAGGGGAATAAGCATTCATTAAGCTCTTACTATGTGCAAGGTAGGCAGCTAGGTGGTGCAGTGGATAAAGTGCAAGGCCTGGAGTCAGGAAAACTCATCTTCCTGAGTTCAAATCTGGCCTCAGACACTTACTTAAAAATTAAAACAAACCTAAAAACATTAAACTTAAAATTTCTAGTGTAATAGTACAGTGGAATTGCAATACCAAAGTGTGCTCTGTGAGGGTCTTCCAGGTGGTGCGTGGTCTGATTCCAAATGTAAACTATTTAAGCCAGGTTTGAGTTTTAATTAACTTTTCCAGTGAAGATTTAGGTCTTCATTAAACAAATCAAATGAACATTTTTTAAAAATGTAACCTCTATTATCATTGAGATGGAAAAAAATGGGTTTTGGGAAAGAGGTGTGGGCAAGGGTAGGGCAGACACATCTTTGCCTCCTCTAGAAGTTCTACTGCCCAAGATCCACCTTAAGTATGAGATATGACCCTAATGTATCCATTTCCTTTGCTAATTTATGGTTCTTTATCAGTTCCATAGGAGTAATTGGCACCAGCACCAGAGTTAAGTATGGAACTCCCAATGGTCTCATGTGTGATAAATACGATTGTATGGACAAATTTTCACATTTTTGTTTTCAAAAGTTAGTTTTATTATCTTGTATTTAGCTGTCAAAGATATTATGGTCACTACTCAGGCTCTAATTGACCCATCAAATAAGACTTGGACATAATATTAGGTCTTTGGGGGGAAAAAAGCCACCTCTAGTAATAGAATGTATAGTGACCATATTCCATGCAACTTAAAAAACAAAAACACAACTATTTCTGTCTTTATGTTTATGCGGTAGAAGGCTAAAGAATGAGGAAGCCAGGGTGATAGAGACATGTATTAAATAAATCATTCTTACTCTGTTGTTTTCACCATGTATCATGGGGAAAGTTCAACTCTGGCAATATTCTTGTTGACATTTTTTTCAAAGAGATCTTTTCCTAAGGAAAAAAGAATATCCAACACATTTTCCTTTTCTTCTAACTCTCAAAGAAATGCAGCGTGGTATGACGGAGAGAGAATTGACCTCAAAGCAAGGAGGACTTGGGTTTAAATGCAGGCCCAGACAGATGCTGGACATGTGATCCTAGGTAAGTCACTTAACTTCTCAGTGCTCTAGAGAATTACCTAAGCATATTGCAAAGAAGGTACACAATTACATGGGTACAGGGAATTTCCTCACCTCACGTTGGAGTTCTTATACCCGTGGAAATCATAGTTTCAATTCCTATTCCAATTTCAAAAGGCAATAAGTGAACTTGTTTGCTATCCACAATCCTCATCTTTATAACACAAAGATTTATCTCTAGGGCAGAGGATAATTTCACAGTTGAAGCTGCCACTTATCTGACAAAGGCCAGCAGCCTCTTTTCCTGCACATCTGCTGCTTCTACTGTTGGGAATAGCCAGGCAGCTGCGAAACCCTTTTTCTTGTTTTCTCCTAACATAGGTCATTTTTATACTTAAGGAAAAAAATTAAAAAAAAAAAACAGGTCTTGGGACACTACGTATCGAAGGCCAAAAGAACTGAGGTTCTGGCCAAAATATCATACCCAGTAAAGCAAACATAAACCTGAATGAAAAAAAAAATGGACATTTACCGAATGGTCAGACTTTCAGGACTTTGTTTAAAAAAAATCTGAACTTAATAGAAGATTTGATGTACAAAAGTCAGGATAAATATAAGATACATACCGAAGACTAATTGCAAGGGATTCAATAAGGACAGGCTGTTTACCTTTTATGTATGTAAAATGTAAAATGTATGTCTAAACTTGTTACTAGTAATTGGGTAGTTCATAAGAAAGATTGGAGTAAACCTGAGTATGATATGACTTTAAAAAGTAAAATCATTTATGAATGGCTAAAAAGAGTAATTATTTTATACAAATGAGGTGTGAGAGGAAGAACTGATGCAGAAGAATTAGATGAGGGGCTATTAGTTCTGGAAACCTACTTTCATTGGGATGGGTTCAAGAGGGAACAATATATATATGTCTAGAAGAGGATAAATGTCTTCTAAATGCAGAAAGAAATAAAATGCTAAGGGGGTAAGGAAGGGGGAGAGGATAAGGGAGGGATATCTAGAGGGGAGGGTGAGGGAATAGGTCAAAGGAGGGTATAGAAGGCTATTTGGATTTATGAGAGTGGGAGGATAAGGGAGATTCTTGGAGGGTGGGGTAGGTTAAGTAATAGGAGGGCAAGGTGTCTGGTAGAGGTAAAGTGGAGGAGTTAAAAGGGATAGGAAATGAGAGATACACAAACATAAAAACAAAGATCAGAATTAAAATTGGTTAAGGAAAGTATATATCTATATATGTATGTACGTACATATGTATGCATGCATGCATGTGTATATATGTATGTATGTATCTATATATCTATATCTATACATTAAATAAATCTGCACTTAATTATAGTCTGGGGAGGGAGGAAAGGGGAAAAATAGAGTAATAAGTACACAGCAGAGAACTAACAAGGAAGCAAAGAAAAGATGGACAGCTCTCAACAAACACATAGTATTTATTAATTGGCTTTCTTGAAATGAAAATTTATTACACTGTATTTTGAATTCTCTCTTGCATTCTGCTGTGCACAAGACATGTTTTTTCCTTTTCTTATTTTCTATTTAAGTTTATAATATGTTTTTCTTTTCTTACTATGTATTTAAGTTTCAGTAAAAAAATATTCCTTTGATTTTGGAGTTGAAATATCTGTCAAAAAAGGGACAATTATTTAGGTGGATGCGTTGGGTTTTTTTAAATGTGATAAACACTATGGCAGTTATGAAAATAAGAAGATTATCATTGAAGATTATTATATAGTATTGCAGATATTCTATTGTGGCATACAGCAATATGAAGTCAGTGAAAAAATTAAGTTAAACAAAAATATTTTGATGATCACTTGTAAAACTACTGATAATTTTGATAAGTAAAGAAAAAATTGATTGAAAGGTAATGTAATGAAAATGATGCTTTGCTAAAAGCTGGAAACTAGAACTCTATCTATCTATCTATCTATCTACTTATCTATCTAATGAGTACTATTACCAGATGACTGCCAGCTTTATTTATAAAATCCTACTTGGTCCAAGGAAACATCTTAATGGAGTTGAATATAAAATATTAGAAATAGATAACTAGAACATTAGCTAAAAAAGGGTAAGAGCTCTCTTAATTTTTGACTTTGTAACCCCAACACCCTTGCCACGGTGTCTGGCTCAGCACAGGCAAATAACAATACTAACATTAATACTACTAATAATAAGCTTTCTTTAAAGTTTTCAAGGCACTTTACATATACAAATATTATTTGACGTATACAATAAGCCTAGGAGGCAGGTGTTATTATTATCTTGATTTTACAGAGGAGAAAACTGAGACCGAAAAAAGTTAAGGTTTGTTGAATTGAATTGTTGTTTCATAGCAAATTCCATATTGAAAGACTGCAAACATCAAACCATCTACAAACATTTATTAAGCACCCTTTATGTGCTGAGCATTGTATTGGGTGCTTGGGATACAAAGACAAAAAAATGCGACTATTCCTTACTCAAGGAAATTATATTGCATTAGAGGAGAAAACATGTACATATAGAAGTAGATACAGGTAAAAGCAATGTAGAATAAGTAGTACAAGCCAGTATGGGAGAGAATGAACTGTTGAGGGGTGGAGATTGGGAAAGACTTTGGATAGAAGGTGTGCTTGAGCTATATCTTGAGGAAACTGGGAGGTGAAAAAGGACATAATACATATATCTTGTGGAGGAAAATATACTACTGCACGTAACTCTGTGTGTGTGTGTGTGTGTGTGTGTGTGTGTGGTGTGGTGTGTTAAGGTCAGAGTTAGGAGAGTGGATCAACTGTGAAAGAATTCACTTATAACTTCTCTGTAGTCATTGATGATGAGTTCAGGGTGGACCCCAAGAATGCCAGGGCACTATCTGAAATGATGGGGAATAGATGTGCAGATCCTAGTGTCCTGAAATAAGTCACTTGGACAGTCCCCAAGTTAAAGAAAGCATTTATTGGGGTGATGCACCCAAGCAGACCTGCTCCTGGTGAGGCAGAGCCCCAGTGGGCTCTACACCATATAGAAGGCAGAGCATAGGCCACAGGTCCTGCTCCCCTAAGGGAACAGAGTGGCCCATGCTTCCCATAGGAGGCAAAGGAGGTTAGCCAGGTCAAAGGTATGGTTTAAATACAGTTTTATGGAATGAGGGGAAGGGGACAAGAGAATGGGAGGAGCAAGCGTGGCTCCAAAATGCCTGGGACATCAGGTAGACTGGAAGTGATAAGCAAAGAGAACGGGAAAGGGGAGAAGAGTTGTTCTAGAATTGAGGGTGCTTTGTGAAAGCATGTAGATAAGTCCATGGTAGGCACTTCAATGCACAATCTTCTTTGATCACTGGTCACACCCTGCTTGCTCTCTCAAGCACTCTCTTCTACCTCATCATATATACACATATACATGTATAGACATACATATACATGTGTACATATATACACACACATATATATATACATAGTATGTGTGTACATGTATACACACATGTAATGTATTGCTATCTATATTTCATTGCAATAAATTAATCTTTATAGGTTACTACATATGATTCTATATATTATTACATATATTATATATAAATAACATATCATGTAGATGTGACTATATATGCTATATATAACCAAACATAGTTATATAGCTATATCAATGTGTGTGTATGTTTTATTTGAAAGGAAGGAAGGAAGGAAGGAAGGAAGGAAGGAAGGAAGGAAGGAAGGAAGGGAGGGAGGGAGGGAAAAGTGGTGGGAAGAGAAAGCAAGGAAGGAAAGAAAGAAAGAGAGAGAGAGAGAGAGAGAGAGAGAGAGAGAGAAAGAAAGAAGAAAGAAAGAAAGAAAGAAAGAAAGAAAGAAAGAAAGAAAGAAAGAAAGAAAGAAAGAAAGAAAGAAAACATAGTTTGATTGAATTGGTATAAAAGATGCTAAGGTCTAAAAACTCCTAATGCAGGTTGGTACCACCTCTGAAAATCATGCATATTTATAAATATATACATGCATATATATAAATATGTTCAAGATCCAAAAGTACAGAATTACTACAAAATAAAACTGGTAAATATAATAATAGCACCTAGAAAGTTCTTGAAATAGTTTAATGAAAGACATTATTGGATTACAAAATAGTTAATTTCTATCATCATCATTACAGAAGGTGATTTCTTTGATGTATTACCTATGGGCATGATTAAAGATTAACAATATTGGTCTTACATCCTGAGATGAGAAAAATGCACAATCATTTGTTCAATAGTGTAAGAATTATTTAGCATCTGGAAGCTAGGAAAATGCTGTTTGCATATAAATTGACCTGACAAATTCATTTTCCAGTCACAACAATGTTTCTTATCTGAAGGCATAAACAAAAGAAAGCAAAAGAAGACAGCGTACACAAAATAGCAGGGCACCTGTAGTTGAGATACCTAAACAGAGGTACAGTAGTTTAGTGACAAGAGAAGAGATTCTCAGGACCTGGTTTGAGTCCTGGGCCTAGACCTGACAATTAGGAGCTATTTGATTTTAAGCAAGTCATTTAACTTCTGAACCTGAGTCTCTTCATTTGCAAATTAAGAAGAGTGGGCTTTAAGGTCTCTAAATGTCCCTTCCAGCTGTGAAATTCCATGATGTTCAAATGCTATTAAATTCTACAGCTCACTGATTATGCATCTCATTGTTCTAACCTAAGTCTTCTGTGGTTATTTCAAGGGCTATTGTAAATTCTCAAAACATTGTCAAAATAAAACTAGTCATATTTTCCTCTAAAAGAAAACTATTGCACACCCTTTCAAGGAGATTAAAAACAAACAAACAAACAATGGCAAGGTGTCCACAAATCAAGCCAGTAACTAGGAGCAAAGCAAAGAATGCTGAATAAGGAGTCAGAGAGCTTCAGCTGATAATGCAGCTGGAGCTGGAAGGAATCTGACAGTGCATCTGGTCCAGTCCCCTCATTCTACAGATAAAGAAACTGAGGCCCATTAAGGTTAAGTGACTTGCTCAAAGTCCAACAGAGATTTAGAGCCTGAGGTAGGATTTGAATCCCAATCCTTTGACTTCAGAGTCAGGGTTTATTCTTCCACTGAATTGAAGTCCTGGCTCTTCTAACTACTGTGTGATCTCTTTGGAACTCCGGCCCTCTTCTGCAAAATGATGAGTTGAAGCTGATGCCCCATCAGGGACCCCTCTACTTTTCGTCTTTGATCATATGATCTTACAAGGTAGCAGAAGAGTGGGGTAAAAACAGCAGCCCGTATGACCATCCAAACACTGCTGGGGTAGTGTTTGGAGTAGGTTAAGTCATTCCTTCAGAAACTCTGAAGCGATGAGCTATGAGGCGAAGTAAGATTACAGCAGGTGACTAAGGAAGGGCTTGATCCCTTCCTTGAGAAAATGCCCTTACTTCACGTGGACACCCTGGGTCGAAACCTCATTAGCACAGTGTTCGTTGTGGCTTTGTCACAAAAACTTAGTACATAATAACCATTTTTTTTAAGAACACACGACTCCCATGAGCATTCCCTTATGTGAAATGCCAATGAAAAGTAGTTATGCTTTTATATGATGAGGCTGAGTTCATACTGCTGTCACCTTCTTTGAGTATTACACTTACCTTGTACAATTTGTCAAACAGAACTTACTCTAAAATGTTCGTATTTCAGTAGCCTTGGAGTTTATAAGAGGTGAAGTCTCAAGCCACTTTTTATTTTTAAAATCGTTTATGTCATATCAGCCTAGCTTATTTGTTGGGTGATAATTTTTATTTTAAAGCTAGACAGTAGCCAAAAAAGACTAATATAATCTGAGAGAACACAGGCTAATTTAAAATAAAACATATCTTAGTCTTACATTCCTTGATTGAGGAGCAAAGAGGCTTTGATAATTTTACACTGAGCATCTTTAATGGGTAGAAAATTTTCCACCTGAGCACCACAGGTAGTTTTCAATTTGGGATGTATCATTCCATTTCAATATGACTTCATTCTAGCATCAGTACTTCTGGTTTGTATGAGATTTTTTGGGGGGAGGAGGCGGGTAAGGGGGAAGAGTATAAGTGGGGAGTTTTGAGGCTGCCATTTCATCCAGAAAGGAAAATGATATTTTCATGGAAATTAAGCTATACTAATTGCATTTTCACCCTTTTGGTCTAGGAAGCCATGAAATCTCGTATACAAAAAAAAATTAATTAAAATATTTAATTATACTGGTTGTATTTGCATAACTGGGATTTTAAAAGCTGGGTTCTGGAATAATCGATTTTTCAATATGCTTTTGTCATTCTGGCTGTTAGATTTCTTCACTGAATTTTCACATGGTAAATCCAGTTTCTCAGAGTTGTTAGGGTAGTGTCAAAATCAGAAAAGTTAGATTACTTAAAATTAATAATCAAAATCTAATGTCAGAATTAAAAGTAAAATTTTGAAAGATGAATTAAGTAATGGTGTCACTATCACCAATTTGATTCCGTAAGCAAGATCCTGCATTTCTGATATGTGCAAATATGAAAAAAAAAATACTTCATACTACTTCTTTGTCTCACTCTGAAAACTTGGACCACACACTTATGTTTATGCAAAATGAGGTGCTGTAGTTAATTAAATATTCTTGTTAACTTAGAGGCATCATTCCATGTAAATGTATTTGCCAGACAGTGCCTGGCAAATAGTAGCCAATTAAAAATGTTTATTGATTGATTATTAGTTTTCCAAAAGTATAAGAATAGGTTCTGGGTCTGTGATTTCATTGATACAGGAACTCCTAAAAGATTAAACCCCACCTTGTTGATGCAGGCTGGCACTTTTTCTGAAAATGATAGTCTTAGGACGTTTTCCAGACCACTGTGAGATTATGACTTTGTCACATATGACAACATGTATTGAGAGTAAGACTTTTTCAGGTCTTTCTGGTCCCTCAGCCAGCTTCTATCTATTATGCCATGCTGACTTTCTTCAAAAACTATAATACAATAAAATATACTTGAATACTAAAATGATGGTAAAGGTGATTTAGATTTTTTTTGATAATTCAGAAGGCACACTGGAATCCCATTGGGTATCAGCTCATCATTACAAACATGAGTTAAAGCATAGTTGATAGAAAGTTCCTCTCAAAGTTATACTGGCCATGTGACCCTGGCCAAGTCACTTAATGCTTTAGTGTTTTAGGCAACTCTTTCAGATAATACATATTGTTAATGCACCAATATACATATTGATAGAAGGTCTTTCCTCATGCAAGAGTTCCATATATCAGGGAAACCATAGACGTAGTCATTGCCATTAATCATTTCAGCATAATATTGCAGAGAAGATGCAGGCTTGCCTTAGCAGAAGTTTCCTTATTCTGGAGTCTCTGTCACCATTAGAATCACAGGACTAGTATAAATATCCCAGTCCTATTTAATCTCAAGTCCATAAAACAAAAAAACTAACAATCAAAACTTTGTTTTGTTTTGTTTTCATGTTATTATGAGACATACTTTAAGAGTAAGAAGAACGATATACCTTTCCATGATATGGGGTAAGTTTGAACCAAAACTATTTGACCACACTATGAATTTGGGAAGACTTAAAACAACCTGTTACCTGAAAATTGTCATTCCCTGGAGTAAAGGATATATGGAATAAGTAAGATGCAGAGCTTTGGTTTCAAATTTTGACTCTTAACCTGAGAAAGTCTGTACGTGTAAGGCATAGATCGTATGCAATTTTTTTTTACTAAGCAGTAAAAGACTCTAACAGACCAATTCTACCAACTCATATAGGAGAAATTAAAATAATAATTCAAAGGTGTTTGAAGTATGATTCCCTCATTGTCTCTTTAGATATGAGAGTACACAATTATCTTAAGCAAACTGGGTCTAGAACTTGAAGGGAATCTCATGGTAGAACTTCCTCCATCCTGCCTGTATATTTGTTTTTGCATGTTAACTTTACAGATGGCCTTATGATGCTGGGCATATGCAGGTAGAAAGTTCTCATGCTACATCATTGATGAGTATCACAGAAAGGTGTGTGTGTGTGTGTGTGTGTGTGTGTGTGTGTGTGTGTATGAGAGAAAAAAATAGTTACAAAATGAAATTGGTTTGATGTAGGATTCAAGAGAACCAATTAGATTCTATCTCAAGAATACTTACTCCGTATTATGCTATCACATGCATTCTCCATATTTTTTCTTTTTTTCTTTTTTGTTTTTGTTTTGTTTTGTTTTTCTTTTTCTTTTTCTGTTTGTTTGTTTTTTTTTTTTTGCAAAGCATCCTAAGAAAACTAGATGGTATAAGCTATCTATTGTTTCATAAATGCAGGTAGAGGCAATTAATCAGCATCTCTCAATTCTGCAAAAAGAAAGACCTCGAAACATACACATCCCCTTCCAAAGTTACCAAACCCACTCTTCCTCCCTCCCAACTTGGAAAACCCCTAATCTTTCCTACTATTAGAAATCACATTACTTAATTCTATATCCTGTCTTGTATTCTGATTTCTTTAACTAATTGATCTCAGTTCAGTAAATGTTTTTAGTACATAAAAATCTACCTCATTCTGTATTCAAGGTCTTTGGATTGACTAGGAAGTCTATTGGCTAATTATTTAGACAGTTTTGCTAATAAATCATATAGCTCAGATGGTTTCCTCAGTTATTATCAATTATTCACCACAATGTTAAGTATCACTAATTATGTTTTTAACTTGAAAATTGAAGTACTACTTTATAGAGAGAAGCACTCCTTAATGTAGAGATTTCTGTGGCTGCACTTGAAGGAGGTATGGTGTCTATTTTCAATGACATTATGAACCAGATCAGGCTTAAGGAAGGATTGATAGAGTGTGTTCTGGGGAGAGATTCTGGCATAATCTAGTGGAAAGGACGCTACCCTGAGAGTATGGAGAGTAGACTTGTGGTCTCCTGTCTGCTGCAAGTCCTTGGACAAGTAATTTAACTTCTCTGGTCTTCAGTTCTGTCATCCATAAAATGAGGATTGAAGTAAATGATTCTTGAATTCTCCTCCAAATATAAAATTCTGTCATTTCAAATTTCTATTTATTTGGTCTCTGAATAAATAGAATGTCATTGTTCACCTAACTAGTAGCTGAAAGGGACAGTGGATAGAGTTCTGGACCTGGAGTAAGGAAAAACTGAATTCAAATCCAACCTCACTTACTTACTGTGTGTGACCTTGGATAAATCATTTCCTCCCAGGACACATTCTATGAAGATGTTGAACCTCCCCATATGCTAAGTTTATATGGCATAAAAGGAAATGAAAGTATGTTTATTTTCAGTTTAAATCAGAGGTTCCCAAGTGTATTTGGCCTACCTTACCTTTTAAAAAAAATACTCATACACACACACGCACACACACATACACACACACTATTGCCACACCACTGTATTGTTCCAGAGTTCCCCAGGAGGCAGTATCACCCACTTTGGGAACCTCTTTTTTTGTTGTTGTTTTATTCGAACAGTCTGCCTGATTCAGCATAAATCTCTACTATTTCCTCTTTCCACCCAATAATTCTATCAAAAGTAAGAGATCTGGTCTAAATTATCCAGATAATTTCAACCTTAGAAACCCATCAAGAGAGAAAATGAAAATTAAAAAATAAAAAGTAAAATACAGTGGGTCAGAGTAAAAATGTTTCCCATGATTTGGTGCAGCACCTTAGGCAGCTTTCATTCCTTTGTGTGAAGCATTATCTATAAATATCCTCAAGATAATGGAACCAAATGGTTACCCATTTTAGTGGACTAGTGGAGGAAACAGAAAAAAAAAGTGACCTGAAGGAATAGGGGTGTGTGCGTGCCTGTGTGTGTGTATGTGTAACAGACAGACAGAGACAGAGAGACAGAGACAGAGACAGAAAGACAGAGAGAAAGAAAGAGCTGACCTGAGAATCAAAAATCCAATTATCAATAATTATCTATGACCCTTAGCAAGTTAGTTTACTTTTCTAGCCCAATTTCCTTCAGTTGTAAAATTAGAAAGTTTAACTATATTTTCTCTAAGATTCCCCATCCCCTTCTCAAGTTATAGCATCCAAATACATTAGATCATATCATATCACATCATATCATATAATATTAATTTCTATGTATTATAAATCTGGAAAATGTTAGTACATGGTGGGAAAGACAATGAAATAAAAGCATTGGAAAGCCAGATGAGGGCATCAGACAACTGAAAGGAGATAAATAGGTTGCCGAAAGTGAGAATGAGCTAGTTACAGTAAAACAAGGAGGTACCAAAGACTAGCCCTAACTCCTTAATTGTTTTTAGTAGAGTTAACTCATTTGAGAACTCTATTTCTAACACCAGAGATAGGGACTGTGTCTTTGATTTAATTGGCATAGGCAACTTCTAGGAGAGGCACTTACCTCTACCAATGCAAGTCACCATCTTTGCTGTACCTTTGAGTCCTGGAGACTTTCCTAGAACAGAGAGAGTTTAAATGACTTTTCTCAGCCATATAACTAGTATATACACAGACAGGTAGGTAGATGATAAATAGATAGATAGTAAATATAGATATATCTCAGAGGCAGGCCTTGAACCTAGGTATCCCTGGCTTCAAAGACAGTGTTATCCACTATACCATATTATCTCTCTAAACAAAAGGAAATGACAGAAATCCATTTAAAAATAGTACTTAGAATTTTCATCTTAATTAAAAGTGAAATCATACAAACAAACAAAAAAAAAGTATACTAAAGTTGCCCTTGTTGTTCATAGTGGGATATTCAAGATATGGTATACATCTTATCTTTTTCAACTATAATTCTTCACAGATAAATGAAAAATTAGCTTAGCATCATTTAAGCTATCTAAAATCATAACTAAGAAAGTAAAGGTAAGAACTCGAGAAATTATCTAAAAAAGAAAAAAGAGGAAGAAGAAGAAGAAAAGGAATATATATATATATATATACATACATATATATATAGAGAGAGATATATACAAGAAAAAGTGACAAGATGATTATCCATTATTTTCTTTTTAAAAGACAGAAGTACATTATTTTCACAGAAGAAATGAAATGGCATAATAAATTGTGAGAAGAATTAAAGAAATTCTTAGGCCATGTGCTGTGCTGCTTGTTACTGTTGGCTTGTCTTTCTCCATTAAAACTTTACTCTGATTTTTCTTTGTTCTGTGCATTTGACACTGAGTTCTTTTTTTAATTATTATTTTATTTTATTAAATGTATTTTATTTATTTATTTTAAGTTTTTAACATTCACTTCTATAAGATTTTGAGTTCTAAATTTTCTGCCCTTCCTTCTCCTCTTCCCTTCCCAAGAGGGCATGCAATTTGATATAGATTATACATATACATTCATATTAAACATATTTCTACATTAGTCATGTTGTAAAGAAGAATTAGAACTGAAGGAAAAAACTATGAGAAAGAAGAAACTGAGAGGGAGAGAAAGAGAGAGAGAGAGAGAGAGAGAGAGAGAGAGAGAGAGAGAGAGAGAGAGAGAGAGAGAGAGAATGCTTCTATCTGCATTCAGACTCTATAGTTCCTTCTCTGGATATGGATAGCATTTTCCACCATGAGTCTTTCAGAATTATTTTAGATCTTTGCATTGCTGAGAAGAGCTAAGTCTAGTAACGTTGGCTGTCACACAATGTTTCTGTTACTGTGTACAATGTCTTTCTGGTTCTGTTCACTTCATTCAGCATCCATTCATGTAAGTCTTTCCAGGTTTTTCTGAAGTTCATCTGCTCATCATTTCTTATGGAACAATAGTATTCCATTACATTTATACACCACAACTTGTTCAGCCATTCCCCAATTGATGGATATCCCTTCAATTTCCATTTCTTGGCCACCACAAAAAGAGCTGCTATAAATATTTTACACATGTGGATCTTTTTTCCATTTTTGTGCTCTCTTTGGGATATAGACCTGGAAGTGGTATTGCTGAGTCAAAGGGTATGCACAGTTTTAGAGCCCTTTGGGCATAGACACTGAGTTCTTAAAAGCTGTCCGGTAAGAGCGCAAACTCAATAGGCCCCACCATACTGAAAAAGGTTCCAGTTTAGATGCAAGATAAGGAATTGCATTTCTCAACTAAGGAACCAAGGACAGATTTTTTATTTATAAAGTTGGTAAACCGAGGACAAGGCCAGCTAAGTTCAGAGATCTTATTTCCTCTCTATTAGTATCAAGGAAGTGAAAGTAATTTGTGCTGAGTTTTGCAATCTTAAAGCACTGTGTAAATGCTAGCTATCGATATACTATTATTTCTTTATTTTAATTAATATTCATTTGGATTTTAATCACAAAGCAATATTTTTAATACAGGAAATTTAAAACAAAAATAAAGTAGTTTGGGGTTTTTTTGGGGGGCTTTTGTTTGTTTGTTTTGTTTTGTTTTTACTAACAATGGTTGTTGTTCAGTTGTTTCAATTGTGTCCAACTCCTCATGACCTCATTTGGGGTTTTCTTGGACAAGATACTGAAGTGGTTTGTCATTCCTTCTCCAGCTCATTTTACAGACGAGGAACTGAGA